ATATCCCACTTACCTCTCTTAAAGGAGGAGGAGGAGGAGGAAAAGGACGAGCTTGGCTTTAGATTTATTTCTTTATAGTCTATATTTATTCTAAATTGACTGGATCCACAAGCAGTCTATAATTAAAATCTACAAATAAATTCACTGTATCGTTCAAGTTAACTTTATTACAGTCAATGATCAGCTCATGATATTCACTGTATTGTTGAAGGCTTTCATGGCCAGAATCACCAGGTTGCTGTAAGTTTATCGGGCTGTATGGCCATTTTCCAGAAGCATTCTCTCCTGACGTTTCGCCTGCATGGTCCTCACAACCTTTGAGGATGCATGCCATAGATGCAGGCAAAACATCAGGAGAGAATGCTTCTGGAACATGGCTATACAGCCCAAAAAACCTACAGCAACACATAATTCACTTCTTCATTGGTGAGACTCCATTCACAAAACACTGGATTTTCATAACAAATATGCGAAAAGCTGACCTTTAACTTGGGCCATGTTCATATGTCCTTTTACATAAATAGACACCTGATTTTTAAAAATAAATGGATATTTACTTTAAAAGAACATGTTAGTTACCTGTAACTATATTTTACCAGTACCACCACACATAAAGATGTGACTAGAGTACAATCACACATATCTTTATCCAGAAGTAAAGCTTACTTCACATCACTTCTTAATTCTATTTTGTTTTGGTTGCCTTTCCTGACAGTTTTGTGGATCATCCACGTTCTCATTATTTAAATCTCTTTGGGGCTAAGCTTTTGATTATTTCTCCTCCAAAAGAAACTGCTTTTTTCAATGTTTAAATCATTAGAATTTCTCCAGCTTTTAGGTCACTACTTCAATTTTCTTCACTTTTTAAAAGACAATATTGATTATTTCCTCTGCTAAATCTCAAATATAATACCTCATCAAATATCTATAATTTAAAAGTATCCCTCAAGAGCCATAAGAAAACTATCATTCTTATAATTAAATCCGAACAAGAATGTTATGGGTTTCTGGTGCCGCTGTTCCCAATATACTCAGTTTCAGATTTAGGTCAAAGGCTTAATACATTTAAAAGACTTTGATTTAGGTTCATACCCAAAGATTTTCATATGAATAAGGGACTATAATATCATACCATGTGTAGCACTTTGAGGTTTAGTACAGAGGTTCAAGCCATTTTTACTTCAAATGTATATTGTAGTCCTGGAGTTAGGAATCTTTTGTGTCTGGAGTTCAAATTCCAAAGTGGGGCAGTACAAGATGTGCATTTTATCTGCGTTGACATTTTCTTGCCAAGCAAATAAAGCACAGTTAAATTCTACACGTCTCAATACAGCAGTAACCCACCCTACAACTTTCAGCAATGGAAAGCAGAGCTAAATTCTAAGCATATTTTCTGAGGAAAAATGTGCTAAAAATTGTACCTTATTTCTATACAACAATGCATAATAGTTATCATAGATGAAAATAAAATATAATTGTATTACATGAACTCATGATATAAAAAATAAATATTCATATAAACACTTATTCTTATATTCCTTGCCAAAAGTTTTTTTTATTGTAGACAAGACTTGTACAAGTGAAAAACCTCTAGATCAATCATTGTCCTGTAACTGTCCCACTGACAGATAACGTTGTCCCCCGTGTTGAGTGCCATGTGAGAGCCAATCTCAGATAGTAGTGGTTTTAAGTGTTGACTACAACTCTGGAGACCAGGGTTTGGATCCTCACTCAACCATGGAAACCCATGGGTTGACCTTGGGCAAGTCATACTCTCAGCCTCAGAGAAAGGCAAAGGCAAGCCCCTTCTGAAGAAATCTTGCCAGTGAAATCCTAATATAAGTCGACCCTAGGCTTGCCTTAAATTGGAAACAATGAAGACATACAACAAGTGCTATATAGGATGTTATCATGTGAAGGAAATAAGGAGTTGTAGGGAATGATTTGGCATTGTAGTCTCTGAACCAAGTCTCCCACTTTATCCCACAGAACCCACACTGGGTTCAATCCTTCACTGCACATACGAATTGTATGAATAAGCTATATATATGCTATGTTTTTTATTTATTCTTTGAAGATTGGGTTCCTCCTCCTTCTAAAGGATTTTAAAAACAGTAAAGACAAATACAGTTAAGAAGTGGGTCTATATTCACTACAGCTCATGGAAAAATAAAAGTCAGTTTTAAAGATATTGCACTTCCCCCCTTTTTTCTGGCCCTTCTTTCCTCCCTTTTGACTCAAACAATCCAGTGTACAGTGTACAGTGCAGGAGTATGGTATCATGATAGTGGGTCTGGTTCCATACTACCATAAACAGTAAACTAAAACAAAAACACCCACTTTTGCTGTCTAGAAAGGCTCTTTGTTGTCAACCGGTGAAGGCAGACATGCACTCTTAATTTTAACTGACTAAATATAGAAACTGTTTTCCTCACATCTTGATGTGGTTTTTAAACAAACACTTTGTCAGTTTATAACTTTTCCATCAGAATGATAGGTTTCAGGCAGACTGTTTTTAGGCTTATATAATCAGAACAGGGAAGGGCAGCGGGGAACATGCTTTGTATGCATAGGGCCAAAGGTTCAATTCCTGGAATCTCTCAAGAGTTGGTATAGGCAAACAGCAGAATCAAGTAGAAATGCCTTTCCTAGACTGCATTGCTTCAAGACAGTGGATAAGAAGCATAGGTAGGTTGTTTGTTAAATAGAGGGATGCCTATGTACAGAAAGTATGTTAGAGGGCATGACTTATGGTGTTAACGTGTTCTCTTACATCAAGGGACAATTTTTTAAAAAAACACTTGTACAACCCACTGCATTTCTCCACAGCTGCCTGAAGATGCAACAGTCCAGGAAGAGCTTCAGTGACTTTATGTTACTGGTTGAAAAAGACAAGAACCAAAAGAAGAAACTAAAGCAGTAGTATAACTCAACAGCAGAATGTTACTTTCATCAATATTTTCCAAATAGCATCATGTCACTTCTGGCATTAAATATTTATTTTAAATTTTGAGGAAAAACAGTTAAAATATTTATGTAAATGATTTCATACACTTTTTAAAAAAATGTGCAGATAGAGAAAACACATATAAATGAAGACACCTCAGTGGGACATGGCAAGGACGGACATGTCCAACATTGAGTGAAATGTGGCCTAAATACACACAAGTTGTGTTATCTCCCTTCAGAACATCTGGTAGTGTGACCAAGCTACAATTTCTTCAATCCAACCACATTTTACTTTTCCAGTGCTATTCCAAAGATCTGCAATAAAGTGATACACTGTGATCTGAGATTGATGTAAGGTACTCCCACAGGCAAAGGCCTAATGAAAGAGGAGATGGGAAGGAAACCATAAATTGCACTCTTCAACATGTCTCATACCTCCTAAAAATGGTAAAAGAAATCAGTTTTTCTTAAGCTGCTCTGAGAGACCACCAGCTTTTCCCCCAATGTGCCATGGGCCATTTTTAATTTGTACATTATTACTATTATTATTCAAAGCAGACTGGCAGCCCATTACTTATGGACTGGTAGCAGTCCATATATGTCCACTTGGAGCAGCGCTGATCTAAATCAACTCCCAGCAAAGGACAACTATTTACAGATTGAACATCCCTTATATTAAACACTTGGGACTAGAAGAATGTTGGATGTCCATTTTTTTCCGGATTTTGGAATATCTGTGACGATGCTATAACAATCAATACAAACAGTAGGAGGTAGCAAAACAGCAAGACAAAAGACCTCTTTCACAAAAATCAAGAAATCAAAGGAAAATTTAAATAAAGAGTAGGGATGTTACATAACGACCACTAGAATACACTTCATGATCAACAAATGAGGGGAATGATACACAGAAGAACTATATAAAAGAGATGAAAGGGTGATAGATTCATTTGAAGAAGAAACATATGAAGATGAATCCGCAATTTTAGAAACAGAAGTGAAAGCTGCATTCGAAGCTCTTGGAGAAAATAAATCATGCAATATTCCAATATCCAAGAATATACTCAATATTCCAATAACCAAGAAAACAGGCACCAAGGATTACAGTAACCACCTAATTTCTGCTTTAATCTTCCCATGCAAGCACAATTATTTTATTATTTCACGTATTTTTACCCCGCCCTTCTCAACCCCCGAGGGGGGACTCAGGGCGGTTATGCTCAATATTCTATAACAATGACTCTGGAGTGAGAAATGTCAGATGGCCATTTGTTCAGAAACAGAAGAGGCGTGAGCAATATTGCAAATATATATGGGATAATGGAGCACATCAAAGAATTTCAGAAGAAAACCCATGATGTGCTTTATAAGATGCATCAGTTTTTGGTATGAAAAACTATAGATAAAGGAATTAATGTATCATATGAATTGTTCTGTACTCGGGACAAGGTTCGACAAAATACAGAGAAACATATTGGTTTTCAATTGGCAAAGGTGTCAGAAAAAGTTGAATTTTATAACCCTGTTTAATTGAATGTATTGTTATCCTGAAATATGGGTTCTGGTTCTTGGGAGTGCTTCAGTCAGATAAGCACACCAAGTGATAGATCACAGAAGTTCAGTTAAGCTGCATCAAAAAGGTATCTGAGATCTCACAACTATAAAACAGGTAGGCCACATGGGTGCTCCATGGTCCCATCTGGGATGCCAGTGTCACACGAAAAGTGGATTAAACTCAGAGAATTAAGGCATAAAATCCAAAGAAAGGAACATCAAAAATTTAATACATCATGCTGGTAGCAGAAAAAAAGCAAAAGATCACAATATCACAATGGCTCTTATCTAGTTGAACTAGCAATTAGGTTTAGAATTTTGCATGTTTCTTAAAAGAACTTTCTTATTCCATTTTCCTAAGTAAAATGCTTCTTCTAGATATAACCATTATAAAATATTTATGATTATGAATTTGCAAATGTATCTTTAGCAGTAGGAACAAGTTGAAATAGCTGTAAAATTATTTCAACATACCCCATTTTAAAATTTCAACATACCCCATTTTCAGCACGTTTCTCCACAGGTATACTGATTCCGTTTCTTTGATTTTGAGTCTGACGGCCTGTGAATAACACAAATGCATTTAACTCTACTGGCTTCCCATGAAATAGTTACTTATAAAACCAAAACACAATGTTAGAAAAATATTTTTAAAACATGATCAACCTCATATCTTCATACTTTGACTTGGTAAAAACAATTTTGAAGAGCAGATGTGTAACTGTTTTCACTAGGGTCAATTGTTTTTCTAAATGTATTTAAAGCTCAGTTAAGAACAACATAATGTTAGAAGTGATGTCATCTGAATAGCATTCTCATCCTGTTAGAAGTATGGAAAGAGGAAATAAACTGTAATCAGAAGGACTTAGAACTGTGAATACATTCAATCAAAAACCTTAAATATTTAAAGATCAAAGAAATACAATAGAAAATACTGATGAAATGGTATAGGACACCCCATCAAATAGCCCATATTACAAAAAGAACATCTAAAACCTGGTGACACGAATGTGGGAAAATTGGAACATTTATCCATATGTGGTGGGACTGTGTTAAGGTACAAGAATTCTATAGAAAAATAAAGAGGAAAATGGAGGAACCCAAAATATAGGATAGAACAAGAAACAGTTTTTCACACTGACACTGGAAGGGAAAAGTGGTAATAAAGAATGGGCAAAGACTAAATATACATTAGCTGCAGCACAAGCTATGGTCGCCCTAGAATGGAAAGAACATAAAAAATGGGATATACAAGAATGGTACAAATATTTAGCAGACTATATGCTTCAAGATTATATCATGGATAGGAAAAATAAATATACCGATGGATATCCCAGGGAGAAATGGGGAGAACTGACAGTCAAGGTAAAGGTCAACAGAAAATACACGGAATTGAACAGGACTATCTTTACGATCCAACAAACAGAATGAATGATTAAAGAAATGCATGACTGTTCCCGGAAGGAGAGGGGTGATCAGGAGAGGGGGAAAACAATGGCAAAGGGATGGATAGGGAATAAGGGCGATTACTTATGAAATCTTTTCTCTCTTTTTAATTAAATTGTAAATATATATACTTTGTATGTTGCTTATATTACCTTCTAAACTCCATCAGGAGGAAATTTGGCTATGTTATACTCTACTTGTTTGACCCTAATAAAAGAAATCTTTAAAAAATGAATAGCATTCTCATATTTAACCACATAGTAATTAACTTTTGCATTACATAAGGATATAGTCAGGATACCTATACTGTTGGAATTTCATCAATTTCCCTCTCAAAACCTCACTTTGCTGCTAGAGGGTGTTATGTAAATAATACCCATCTTCATCATAGCTGCTGTCCCTTTTAGTTGGGAGTTTCTACTAACTGCTAAAGGAACTTCCTGATACTGCTACTACTGTTCTACATCTGATGAGAAGCTGAAAAACTCACAATTTCCTTCCTTAAAACTCTGAGGCAGTGGGCTTTACAAACCAATAAATTAATAATACACCAAGGTTAATGCAAACAGATTTAAAAATTAACTTTAAACTATAGCCATTCTTCCCTTTTAATGGCTCGTTTTTCAAATTTTGCTGTTTTAATACTTGCAAATTATAAATAGGTTCTATTAATTTGACAAGGGATCTGTTTTTCATGAATCCTTCTTACTAAGGAAGGCTTGCTTGGGACCACAGGCGTGCTGTTCCAAGTGCTGCCTATAGAAAGGGGAGACTCCTCATCAACATCGAATTAATGGAACTTGTCTCAAATTTAAAACTGTCTCAAGCATTGAACCCGTGGAGTGTTATCGGTTCTTCTTGCCTCTGGAGGTTCACTTTGAACCCCACACATGCACTGCCTGCAAAGTAAGCTGGAGAAAAGGCACAAAGGAAAGATCAGGCTGGGGGAAGGGGATATATTGTCAAAAATTAAAGAAAGGACAGGAGCAATAAAAATAAAAGAAACTATCAATGTTAGAAAAGAGAAAATCGTCTGTGATTAAACACATGGACAAATCGAATGGTTTTAATAAGTCTACTCTGGTCATGACTAAAATAGTAATTAGGTTTTGTGTTATGTAGTTATTCATGTCAAGAAGATATAAACATTCCTTCCTATAAAGGACAAAAGGAAACCAAGATGGGTAATCACAGGGATCAGAAACTATTGTATATTAAGGTCTTCCTCTTACACAGATTTTAAAAATAACGGGAAAGAAAGAAAATGTAAAAACACCCTTTCTTAAATATTTTATACAGTATCAAAAAGAAAATATTCTGTAAACTAACATTCGATTTTTCTCATTTTGAGTGGGGAGAAAGGATAGTTGGGGAAAGTTGGTGAAACACACATTTTTCCTACTTCTTTGTCTATGGCCTTCATATTTCTTGCCACCCAGTGCCATTCTGGTCTCACTGAGAGGAACAAAGGGGGGGGGGGGCACACTGTCACAGCTACCACTCACGTAGACTGAAAATTATACTCTTATTGATTTTATGGAAGTTGGGGTGAAACATTAAAACTTTATTAAGCAATAATTTAAGTGGGGAGGGGGAGTATTTTAAGGGCCTATTTTTTTGGGGGGAAGAGTGGGGCTTGAGGGAAGACCTGTGGAATGCCCAGGCCTACACTGGAAGCATCAAAGCAATGCCTGAGGCCCATAGGATGTACAATTCTCACTCCTGCAATAAAGCAATTACGTAATGAGGAGTCCTGGTGCATTGAACCATGCTTGCTACAAAAAAGCAATCAAGTAGAATGTGTCAGGACCATAGGGCTGAGGAGGAGGAGGAGGAGGATTTCCTTCCAGCAGCAGACTCTGAGCCCCAGGAAGAGGAACAGACTGATACCACTAGGGCTCTGCAGGAGCAGGACTTTTCAGAAATGGAAGCACCTAAGTTGTAGCAGGGGGAAGAGCAAGAATAGGCGTTAACTCATCTCGCATGGCTCCAGTTCAGGGCCGATGCTACCCTGCTGCGAAGGTCCAATCTGTTAGCTCAGAAGAGGATTCAGCAGCTGTAAAGACTTGTCAGAAGCAGCATAAAGGACAGGTGTTTGTAACAGTTTACTGCTAGAAGCAAATGTCTGGATTGGTGCTACAGCTGTATTTTGTTGGTGACATTGTGCCTTGAGCCTTGGACTATGCTTTTGATCTTGGACCTGGACTTGTTGGTGAAGCCCTGTATGTTCAGACCTCTTGGAACAGTCTTTGGAATTTGGCTTGCTTGCTGCTGTTCCAGCTTTAAATCCTGGACTGCCTCTGACTACTCTTTGGAGGTGATACTGTAGACCGTGACAGTATGCAACAGTGTTCTGTTCATTCCTAAGAAACCAGGATTCCTGAAGAGGGAATATACCTACTGTCAGATGACACTAACTACTATACAAAGAAAAGTGATGTAAATTACTTCAAAATCCAGTGAATTCCTGGCTTGTCATGTTTTTTTATGATTGCGAACACAGACTCTGAAATTTACTATTAATTTCAAAGGATTCGGATTCTATATATAACACTGCTTGAGATTAATTGTTTCATTAGATAATTAGGCATTTAAGTAAAGATTTTGTATTTATATACAACCTCAGATGAGCTGCATAAATGTTTGGACAAAAAGATAGCCTGCATCTTACTTATTACTGTAGTCCCAACTAGCATATGCTCATAGAATTGATCATTAAATGGTTAAATTAAGCCACAGGTAAATCCCACAAATTAAATATTTACTATTTATGATTAGAATAGAGGTATGACCCTATCTTTTTCTTTCTAGATCAAAACCAAGAGTGGCTCAATAAGGCAACTTTAGTTAGAATTAACAATATAATTCATGCCTATATCATAGAATAATAAAATTATAGCACTGAAAGAGAAGAAATGAGCCATCCAATCCAACCCCTTTGATGCAGGAAAAGTACAATAAAAGCACTCCGCAGATAAGAAGTTGAGAACCACTGATCTAGGATATTATTTGAGACAGTATGAAGGATATCTGCCAATGAAAAAGCAGCACATGTATTCATTTCACATAAGGACACCTTTGTCTAGCACAGCCTTAGATTGCAAAAAAATCTTCCAGGATATCTCTGTAAATAGAGGCTAACTGGCAGTAAACTGAAAGAAAACAGTGGCAACAACTATCATGTGGCCTGAAACTATTACTGTATTATTTTCAAACAAAAGAGGCGCAACTCCTTGTTTATGCAAAACATATTCTAGAAAGATGTAAGACTCTCAACCACTTCAAGAGAAAAACAAAATGAGCCAACTCCCTGGCAAATGGTTAGAAGTGCAGACTAAACAGGTTTAATAGTAAGGTTATGGAAAGTGTTGACAACTATAATTAAATTGTGAGCAAAAAGCATGATGTAGAAAGAAAAAAAAGGATTCCAAACATAGAGAAGAGTATAGATAAAGATAAAGTGTACAGGGCCATATGGATGTCAGGTGACAAAAGAGAAAAATAATGATATTGAATTGTAAGATTCGGAAAGGAGACAATTTTAGGTCTCTGCAAGACAAATAGCTTTCAACAGAGCTTGGCTTAATTAGTTGAACAATAATTCATGACCCGCAACTTCTTATCATTCTGAACAACCATTTAAAAGTATTGCTTTTATAATTTTAATGACATTAAGTTTAAGGGGCTGGGTAACTTTTTATCACTAGATCTTACTTTAATTACTAAATGACTGCCAGCACATTATACTCTTCAGGCCCCAGTTGGGTTGGTGAATTCTCACTCTTTGGATACACTCTTATCTGGGAAATGATCCACATCATGGGCCACTGTAGTCCACCAGGTAGCTGCCAGGCTAAAAGATTAATATATACTGATATTGACACAGTCAGAAGATAAAGTGCCTCAGGATTTAGCACCCAGAACCAGTCATGTGGCATGGAATCATGTTATTCTTGATGGTAATTTGCTTCAGGATCCTGCTCCTTCCTTATAAGCTGTCATAAGAGAACCTCCCTCTTACTGGTATGTGCCTTTTGAATGTGTCCCTTTGGGAAAATTGTCCCCCATCAGTCCTTTCTTACTGACCTTCAGACTCAGTCATCTGTTAGAAAGCCAGTCCAGTGGAGGGTGGGAGGAAAGGTTACAGCCCATACTTGAGAATCATGTAAAACTATGTCACACCATAGGTACTGCCCGTGTTGAGGATGGGTTCATAGAGGCTAGACGCTAGTACATAACATCAGGTATAGCTGTCTTAGTTTTGAGTGGAGTAAGCCAGTGATCCCCCCTTGGGCATGCACTTAAATCCAAGGCCTATAAAATTGGTGAACACAGAATTTTTGTTTAGCCTTGTAAAAAAAACCTAGTTCCAATGATTTCCAAGATTTCCTTCACAGCCATGATAACCAGGAGCTTGCACTCAACAATGACATTTGAAATTATCACAAGGGCAGAGCTTGGGAAAAGAAGATAGCAGATTAACCTGAGGTGCTGTCCTCAGAAATAGAAGATTCTATGAGCTTGATGGGTGTGCAGATGGGGAAAAAGCAGTAAAATAGAAAAACAACCAAGCTAGGAATCTGTGTGAAAAGAAGGAACCACATGAAGGGAAAGAGCTAATAACAGATTTAAAAAAAACAATGCTAAAACAAGTTTGAAGAGAATATAGTAAGGGATGAGCAGAAGTAGAAGTGGCATCTCTGGTGGGCTATTATCATATAAAAATGATTCTGTGGGTGATAGTGTTGTGTCATCATACTGATATTTTACTTCAGCTTGCAAATAATGTGTCACATAAAGTTAAGTTCTTAAGACAACAAAAATATACGACTCTAAAAGAATACACACCTTGTTCATTGCTTTCTACTGGGGATTCTTCATGTCGAAGGAAAAACTTCACTTCCTCTCTTCGAGGTCCCCACTTCTGTAGATGGTCATACATCATGTGATCAAAAGGTATGTGCCGTTCTGAAATATGGAAATGTGACATGCTTTTTATCAGAACTCGTTCAACATTTGTTTGAAATAAGTTTGCGAAGTAAATAAAGCAAAATTGTAACTGTTTGATTTGATCTCCTATCACCTAATAATCTATTAAAAACCAAAAAATGAAATACATAGATACAGGATGGTTGAAGCCTGGCTCGACAACAGGACATGTAGAAAAGATTTTGAAGTCGTAATAGACAATATGTTGAATATGAACCAACAATGTGATGAACCAGCTAAAAAAAAGCAAATTGAAATTTAGGCTGCATCAAAAGAAATATAGTGTCTAGAGACCAAGGGGAGTAATTATGCCCCTTTATTCTGCCTTGGTCAGACCACACCTGGAATACTGTGTCCAATTCTCGGCCACAATCAAAGGGAGATGTTGACAAGCTAGAATGTGTCGAGGATTAGGAAGAATTGTTTGATTGTAAGAGCTGTTCAGCCGTGGAACCCACTGCCTCTGACTGTGGTGGAAGTTCCTTCTTAAGAGGCTTTTAAACAGAGGCTGGGTGGTCATCTGTTGGGGTGCTTTGAGTGTGCTTTTCCTGCATGGCAGGTGCACATTAGAGGAGATGGCCTGGATGGCCCATGTAGTCTCTTTCAATTCTACAATTTTATTATTCTAACGAATAAAGTGAAACCACAATATTTGTCCATTTTGTGGTCATATTTAAGAAGCTTTTAATGACATTTGCTCCACTTGACTTGTAGCTGATAGTTTTATAGTATTAATTATCTAACAGGAATGCTGAAATTGTAGAACATGCACTCGGTATCCACTGGAAAATGGTTTCAGGAATCCTATGGATTACAAAATCCATGGATTCCCAAGTCCCATTATGTATACTGGCATAGTAAAATCTCTGCCTTTAAAGTGGCAAACTTGCGCTTGAGAAATCCAAAGGATCAGTGAAATGCCAGGAGCTACAGCAGTGTATGCTTACATTTTAGCATATTGCTAAGTGTATGGCAAAATTAAGGTTTCTTTTTTTGTAAATGCCCTCCTTCCATCCTCAAACTCATAGATACAGAGAGCCAACTGTATTTTATTTTACCGATTTACCTGAAATTGCTGTTTTTGTTTAGTATGAATCTATGAATACTTTGTGATAAGGAATTGCAGTAAATCACCTTAGGAATTCTCTTGAACGCCATCTAGGAAACTGATTATTAAAATAATGATTATATAAGCAAGACTTCGGTCTTCTAATGTAATATCCACATATGATGAAATTCTGTTATTGGGCTGCTAGAGTTTTCTGGGTTGTATGGCCATGTTCCAGAAGCATTCTCTTCTGACGTTTTGCCCACATCTATGACAGGCATCCTCAGAGGTTATTAAGTCTTCCTCTGAAAAGTAAAACCAAAATAGGTTTTGCACAACGTTTGTCCATTTTGTGGAATGCTTCTGGAACATGGCCATACAGCCTGGAAAACTCACAGCAGCCCAGTGATTCCAGTCATGAAAGCATTTGACAACAAATTCTGTTATTACTATTTCATTGATTTTCAAATGATCAAGGCTCTCCTGACCTTCTGGAATTGACTCCTCTTTTTGAGCCTATGGAAGAAGACTGTGGAAATATGGAAGAAAATGGACAACAGCCTTACATTTGAAAGTGTCAGAACTAATAAATTCTAGAAGGACTTGCAATGATTCTAGAAGGGCTTGCAGTTATCCCTAGTGAGAATGAACTACTCTTGTCATGTATGAAAGAGATGGAAAAAGCAAAACTTAGAACGTTGAAGAACTTGTTCTGGTTCCCAAAAGACTGCTTACCATTTCCTCGCCATACTTCAGATAAATGACAACTGCCTTCTCCTGGTTCTTTGCAAAATTCCACAACATCTCGACAAGTTGTTTCAGGTGTAATTGGCACTTCAGTCAAAATTTGTTCATTGTTGCTCAGGAACACAGTTAATATCATCTGCAAATCAGAAAAACAACATACAGAATCATCCTTTTAATGTGGCAATATGTTTGGGCTACACATATGATCAATAAACACAGCCTAGTCCAGCAACTTGACAAACTGGTCTTGAATCGTCACAGCATGAGAAACATGATAAAACTAGGCAAACAATTTTAAACTATAAAAGGAAGATCTGTCCAGAGAGGAACAGAAGACATAGGAAAAAAATCATATTTCCTTTCTGATTCACAAGTCACTTCTAAATATCTAACTAGTTCAAGGGGAAGGCGACCAGGAGAAAGGAGGCACTTAAGTTTCCTCACACACTCACTCAGGCAGACACAAGGAAAGGGGACGTGAAAGGAGAATGGGAGAAGAAAAGGTGCGTAAGTTTCCTTGTGTGCTCATTCAGATGGGCAGAAGGAAAGGGATGGGGTGGCATCTCTGTTTGTTTGCTTGCTTACTCGATCACTCATTTGGGAGGGGAGAAGTAGATGGGATGAGAGAGTAGGTGGAAGGGGGGTACATTTGCTCTCTCATTCACTTACTTGCTCAGGTGGAGGGAAAAGGAAAGGACAGGGAACAGGAGGATAGAGGACAGGTTGGGAAGGGGACTAGGATGAGCGAGCAGGAGGAGGGAGGACAGGTTGTGCATGAATTTCTAGAGCAGATGGAGCAAGGAGGATAAGGGGAAGAGTATACTGGAGTAGGGAGAAAGGAATCACAGAGAGGAAGGCAAAGGCAGAAGGAAGAGGCTGCAACAGGTGTTCTTAAAATGGCTGCTCTCTTACAATCTGCCCTGGAGATCCACTTGACCTTGCTCCTCCTGCCCCATCCTATCCCCTTCCATCTCTCCTGTCTGAGTGAGCCACTGAGGGATTGAGACAACACATGTGCGGTACACAACTCAAGATAGACACTCGTGTTATCAAATCTGAGAATAATCAAATCCATAAAGATTAAACATACAAATGCTTAATGACTGTACTCTTCATTTCCTAAACATTTGTCTTTTTGAATAATATTGTTTCTCTTTCTTGTTAATTTGGATAAATCTGTTAATTAACCTGTATGTTGTAGAGAGTATTTTTCCTTCTAAACCAAACTGTCCTCAGTTGTTTCAGGGTGTTACATTTACTTTCTTAGCCTAATTCATTCTTTTAAAAATCCTGTCATTAGTGCTTGTTTCTCCATCTGTCCCATTTTTAGACTGCCAATATGCACATTCCTTTAATCTACAAAACCTATATATTATTTTACTGCATGTTTACTTCATATCACAGAGCAGAGCAAAGCAAAGCATTGATATAGCATTGCTTACTTGGTTGAGCAAGCAAACCACATTAGTTATTCTCATTATTTAAATATGCACAAAAACTCACGCATAATGTGTATATGTTCACACAGTTTGTAACCATTATTTCTATTACGTCTAATCATTAGTTTAATTTAATCATGAGGCATCTCATCAGCAGCAATGCAAATTCACATGATGTACATGGGACAGAGGAAGGACAATCTTCACCTCCAGAAAGAAGCTGAAGTTTGGGTGATTGTATAAAAACAGTGTCCTTCACCCTCAGTAAAACTAGTAAAGACTCAAATAGGAAGAAGTCAGGATCATAAAGATATTGGTGATGATTCTTCCTCCATGCCATCCCCAGAAAAAGGCAGCACCTGATTTGGAACCACCACAAAACAGGAATAACATTTTGGTTGTTGGGAGATTGCTATCTGATGTCACTCGAAGCAGACATAATTTGTATGGGCTCCTTCCACATGACAAACACACAGCTTATTGCTCCAGAAACTAAAAAATGAACCAATTTAATTAAAGAAGACATTCCAGTGAAATATGAGGGAAAACATTCTGAAAGTGAAAGATTTTTGATAGTGGCTCAGAGTGTATTTAATTCTTCTATGGATATCTTTAATACTGGATTGCCATCTCTTTGGAGCACTTGTGTAGTCCTGCATGGCAGAGGATCAGACGGGATGGTCCTTGCAATCCATTTCAACTCTATGTCTCTATGAATGAGAGACCTTAAAGAGACTGTTATTACCAGCCCTGAATTATAATGCAAATCAAACTCTCTCCACTCATATGATTCAGTTTGGCGCCACCCCTTCCTACTGCTTATCCAAGGTCACCAAACATTATGGCAGCAAGGTCTTGCTCTGGGACTTCCCCTAGATCAAAATAACTCCTTTTATGCACTAAGGGTACATGTGATGCAAGGCTGGAAAGCCAAACACATAGCCTAGCAATTTCATCTTCACGCTGATGAGTGGAGAGACTCTCAATAATTCAGATATAGCTGTGGATCCCAACACAGATCACTGTTTCCTCAGTGCTGAGTGAAACCAGCAGGAAATCTGAATGAGTGGGGTAGGATACAACAGTAGTAATAGGGTTTCAGGAAACTTAGAGCAATGGTTCTTAATTTGTGGGTCCCCAGGGGTTTTGGGCTACAATTTCCAGATATCTCAGCCCATTTACCAGCTGTTAGGATTTCTGGGGGTTAGGGCCAAAACATCTGAGGACCCACAGGTTGAGAACCACTGACTTAGAGGGATACTGGATGCCCATCCTAGCATTAGATTTTCAATGTTTCACATCAGCAGCTCAGGAACTAAATCTCTGAAACTGTATTTTCACTCTATCTTGATATCTTAGTAGAGGCATCAGAAGTCATAGGAATTAAATGACAGCATTCTGGATACAGATTTCCATGGAAGGTGTGGTTCTTAGGGTCTTGTCATATCAGGATACTGGAAAACTCTCTACCAGAAAAGAAAAAAATGGGCAATTCACAGGGAGGTTGGAATGGTAGAGGCTTCTAGGCTACAGGGCAAAACCATGGACCAAAAAACCAAAATAAAACCTTAATTCAGAATGGGACCAAACTTCAAGTCTAGGTTCAGTTCAGAGTAAAATTAAACCATAAAGTAGTTCATGTGATGATAGCCCATTCCCAATAAAGGCTGGAGTGATCATCCCAACATAAATTGGTAGATTTCTAGAACTTTAGAATATAAAGCTTTAAGGTTACAAAATCTATGAACATATTTTAATGGTTTTTAACTGGGAATTTTTAAAATACTTTTTATATTTAATCCTATTTTAATGTTTGCATATTTGTATATTTTAAATTGTATGCTGATGCTTTTATGAGTCTCCTGTGGGAGATATAAGGTGGTGTATAAATAATAATAATAATAATAATAATAATAATAATAATAATAATATGCAAAGAAGAGTAGCTGTACTAAATAATAAATGAACGACACAAACAATAATCACATGAAATGGTCCAAATGTGTTTATATGTGATATTAAAGGTGTCTTTCACCTTGATATAACTAACTTGGGACTGTTAATATAGCATCCTAAGTGTAGGATGGCCAGTTTAAATCTATATAAGTATTCAAGTATTTTGTTTCTAGGCACAGGAATAAAAAAACATAACTGTCACTTAYGAAAAATAGTTTAAGCCATGACCTTGCAAATCATTACTGCCAAGGTGTGTGTGTGTGTGGGGGGGGGGGGGGTCAACCTTGCTCTGCATAYCTTTGTTCAGTGTGACAGGATGCATTGCCTTGCCAACCTACAAATATTTGTCAGGAAACACAAAACCAAAAATGATCTCTTGAACATTCTCTCATTTGTGAAGTACATAAGACCATCAGAAGAATAGTGTTACATTGTGATACAGCTCAACAGCTACATTCGTGACTGAATTATTTCAATAAACACTAATTTGAGTGTAACAAATGAAAGTTTCATTCGCTAGGAAGTGGGATTTTTTCCAAAAAAGTTTGTTCACCAATATCACGATTAAAACAATAATAATGCATTTTTAAAAATACCACTGAATTATCGTCATACTTCCACCAGACAAAGCTTAAGGCAACTCAAAGAATACTATAAGCAAAAGAAGTACAGGAGGAATATATGAATGTATGTTGATATAAGCTATTTCTCACAATTTTCTAGTGGTAATTATTACAAATATCTTCAATCTAATTCTGTTAACTTTACACTACAAAATATCAAATATGATAAGATGTGGTTGCTTTTCATAACCTCCTGTGACCATGATTATCAATATCCCAAAAGAAACAAATTATAAAACAACTACACATGCAAACATTGGATGAGAGAACAGATATAAAACTCTAAAAATTAAATAAGCATAGCTTGTTTAAAATATGAGAACCAGAAGATATTTATGAAAATACTATGTAAAAGAATACAAGAATAATGCCAGTTATCTCAATTCACTCTCACCTTTCTTCTCATTATTTTGCCTATTTTCCTGTTTCTTTGCTTCACATCATTCCTTCCTAGTTGCCAAGTATTCTCTTTTGATGTGTTTAATACACTTTCAAGAATCATCCTTAAAATATTCTTCATCAGTAAATTTTAAAAATTTAAAAACAAAATGTAATAGAGTGCTGGAATCAGAAATAATTTTGATGCACACGTTACAGTGTGTGAATCTACATAAATGGCTATTCCTCTGGTCTGCTGGGACATGAATACAAGAGGTAATGACATGCCAAGATAAGACAGCCTAATGAAAGAAGGCAGAGCACGGTTGTGACATCAAGGAGATAGACTGGAATGGGTTTTGCCTAAATAGGTAAGGTTATACAAGGAGTTCTTTTCATCAAGTGCGTAGTGCTAACTGTGCATTATTTTATGAAATGTCATATCTAAACAATTGACAAAATTTAAGACTACTGTCACATTACTTTAATAGAAAAAGTAAACAGATTCCCTTGTTGTTTGCTCAAACTTATTTTAGCATGCTTCGAGAAAGCTATGTATAGGATAGTTCTGGCTTCCAGTTATATAAAATCAATTTAAAAATTAAATATCAACCTACATTTTAGTTACAATTGTTGCTGTGGCACACGATCACATTTACTAAAGATATCTACAACATAAGAGAAAGTGATATTGGTAAGCAAGATTCATAACAAGAAATCTTATGTGCAGTGTACAAGTT